AGTAGTGTGTGCCAAATTGGCCAGTAGTTATATGAATATTGTTTGTTTGGTCTGGGTGGTTGTTGAGTAAGTTTGTTAAATTTGGATATTACAGATTGTGAGTCAGTATAAATAGTAATATTGCTGTTTCGTGGACATATTTAAATTTTTTTTTAGATTTTAATTTTTATATTACTAATATAAATTTCTAGTTTACAATATTAAACAAAAGTTTCTCTGCACATATATCTGCTTACAGAGAGGTGTTACAGTCTTAAAACTTTCCAAAAATTTAGTAAATAGTTAGCCTAGATTATGTATTTTTTTTGTAATTTTTCAATTACTAAAAAAAATTTTAGATAAGGGCTATAGTTTTGAATAATTTTCTTTATAAAAAATTAAAAAATTAATTAGATTCAATTAAAAATTAATAAAAAATCAGGATCATGTTTAAAAATTTTAAATATTTAGTATATTAAAATTTAATGATTTTTATACTAGTGACAAAAAATTTGATTTAATTTAATAAGATAATTATTGAGAAATTAATTTTTAAAGTTTAAGAGTAAACAGTACTATTTTAAAATTATATATAAACTTAATGGCAAATATTTTTTATATTTAATTTTATAAAAAATTTTATTAAGTAAACTAATTTTAACTATTATTTAAATTTTGTAGAGTAGGTTTTTCTGATTCTAATGATAGTAAATTTATTAAAATTGGTTAAAAACTCAGCAAGATATAAAGTTTTAAAAATTAGGTATAAAATTTTAATATTAAATTTATTTTATAGCTTTACATAAATTGACCAATCAAAATTAATAATTTTGTGCAGCCCAGAAAATTTTAAGTCTATCTAAAAAAATTTTGTTATATATAAAAATATATATTTTTTATAAGATATAATAGTTCAAAATTTTACCATAATAGATAAATAATTTTATCTGTATATTATAAAAATTTGATAAAAATTTATTATAATTTTAAAAAGTTTTATTAGTAACAACTTTTAATTTTATAGTAAGTTTTTAAAATCATGTATTGATTATATGAAAAATGATCTACATACTATCTATCCTTAAATTTTATTGTTATCTTATTCTGTTTAAAAAAATTTGGTACAAACAGGTTTTTATTAATTTTATTATGTAAGTTACAATAAATTACATAGTAAAATTAATAAAAACCTGTTCACACCAAATTTTTTTAAACAGAATAAGATAAGTTTAAGGATTATTAGAATCAAGGATATCAGATATAAAAGAATAATCTAGCTTGTGAGTTATGTGAAGTTAGGGAACTACAGATCTAGAGAATATAGATTCTACACTGCAGCACCAGGAACCTGGGATGTCATATGATATACTTAATAGAACATGCGTTATCTTAGTTTTTCTTAATTTTAGTGTCATTTGTTGACAAATTACACCTTATCTAGTTATTTCTAGCCTCATAGCTATGCTGGCAGACTGCAACTTGTACAAATCTTGTTTATTTTTTAATAAAAAATCTTTTAAAGATCTTAGCAATCATGGTCCTGGCAGAGCCATTTATTACCCAGTAAACTCAAACTTGTGACCTTGCAATTGTAACCTGAGAGTACTAACCACTGCACTATCAACCCACCAGTCAACATATACTAATTTTTTACAGTGAGCATAATATTATTTTTATTAGATCATGTAGGCTAGGTACTAGAAAAGGGACAAAATTAACAATTTTTTCAAAAGAAATTTTTTTACATAAATCAATTTAAAATAAGATTAGAATTATTTTTTACTTAAAACTTAAAATAGTTGTATTAATAAAATTTTGCAGTATAGCTCTTTAAAGTTTGCATTTTCTTATGATTTATTATAAAATTTATAATATAAAAATTGATTTTCCGATGATCTTTTTTTTTGTCAATTTCATCCCTTTTCTCAGCACCTAGCCCATGTAGTTTGTTAACTAAGCAAAAATAAAATTTTTAAATTTTATTTGTACAGGTGAGAGTACACTATTTCACTAATGTCCTGTTCATTTTTGATATTTGAAAATCCTGCAAACTAGTAGAATTCGATAATGATTCTAGATACAGTATTTAGAATTTTTTTTTCCTAATTTGAAGAAAAGTATACACATTATCAGATTTTTGATAATATTAGAACTGGTTATAAAGATTATATAACTGATAATTTTTAATTAATCACAGGCTTGTATTTATAATATTAAATCCGATTTGCATTTCCAGTACAGTAGTATGTGATGCTTGATAGTTATCTAAAAGTTTTTGATTTTAACTAAGAGGAGAGTACAACACATAGTTTCAAATTATACAGCAATTAAACTTACTGCTAGTAAGTTTTATATAAATATTTAACGCTTAAATTACATAAATTTGTATATTTTTAGAATCGTTGCTAAGTTAGAATTAACAGGAATAAATAGCATTTAAGCAAAGTACTAAAACACATATTTAAGTAATATTATTTGGTTTATGAAATATATATAATTATATAGATATTATTGTAAAAGCGTGTTCTTTGGATCATGTAGACAATTGTTCAACAAAAGTAAATACTTTATTAAATACCCAGGATTACGCATTTAGGAAATTTTATAGTTTGTACATTCATGGATAATGCATTTAGAGAGATTTTTTATGTTTATATAGTAGTACAGGACATCACAAGGCATACATTTCTTATATAGTCGCCAACCGTCTCATGGGTTAGGAATTATAAATAACGCGAGAACTATTCGGATGACTTTTGAGATTAAGGGCGTTTTCGAGTAATCCCTTCCATTCGAAAATGCTCAATCATTGCGATTAATTGAAATTTAGTTGAAATGCTCTTGTAACGATACTTACACTGTGAAATGTGGACTTTAAATTTAAGAAAACAAAAAGATTGATCTCATATTTATTCATCGTAATAACTCACTTTATTAGTCGGGAGAAATATGAAATAAGTTACACAAAAATATTATTACTAGCTAGTTACTAAATAATTACCAAAACTTAAGTTTCACATTTACAAGCGCATATATTTTTTCAATCAAGCAAATTTATAAATTTTATTATTAATATATAAATAAAGATAAAGAAATATATAACAAATAAAAATACAAAATTTATGTTATTCTCTATATACGCATTTAAAATTGGTTTTCAAATAATGCTTATTTTATATCTTAATTTCATCATAGAAATTGGAATTAATATAGTACACGTTTCATAGGAATATAATAGCATAGATGCATAAATATAATAAAAATAATATTCATAGGAATATAATAGCATAGATGCATAAATATAATAAAAATAATTGAGTATTTTAAAAAATTAAGTATTCTATAATAAAGATTTTTTTTAGATAGGGTAATTAAAGCCCATCTCATAAGCGATTAACGCATCGTTTAAACTATCTTGATTTATTGTTGTTGTATTTAATAAATTAGGCAAAAAATATGATTGGTCATTAGAATTGACCAAGTTATCTAAAATGCAATTGTTCTGAATGTCAAAGATTTCATGTAGATTATGTGAATTTATTTCGGAAATTTCATTAACGTTAACGTTAGAGAAATCGAAAATTCCGAGTCCATATTGACTATCATATATAGGAGGCTGATTTTCATCAATGAATAAAAGGTTATTTATGATATCATCATTGACTTGCTGATCCGATTGAATTGGAAAATCAAAATTATTTAGACTCGGAGAACTATCGCTACTGGATGTTATTGATAAGTCAGGACTCGGATAAGTATTTTGATTACTAAAGAAATCTGCCCAATTAATAAATAAATCATGGTTAACAATTGGTGAATTCATATCAATATCATTTAAACCATCAAGCTTGGGAGATAATAAATCGTTATTAGGAGTAGCTTGGAGTTCAGATACGGGTGATTCAAGTTGTTTATGTTTTTTGGATTTATT